TCTGAGGAGAGGGAATGCTAACCTAGGCTCAAACATAAATTAATCCCGATCTTTTACAATTAGATGAAAACTTCTTGCGGCACTGTGAAGCTTCCCTTCAGATATCCATCCAGATGTCACCAAGACATTTTTCTTTTTGATTTTAACTTTGTATTTCCCCCCGAAAAGCCTTTGAAGTGGTTATTTTTAATATTTGTTGTGCTAGTGAAAGGCCCTGATTTAGTCCCTGTTCGCATTGCATTTCCAGGCCAAATGGTCAACTATTCGATGTTTTCCTATCACTCCCTTCTGAGGACCATGACTCCACTTTGTTTTATGACCAGGACTGAAGCCAGCACCCATGACCCCAGAGAAGGGGACTCTGTTATTTATCCTCTTGGAGGTTTCATTAAAGCACGATTCGCTTCCTCAAACAGTGTTTCCTAAACACGCTCTCTGATTACACAAAGTGTTTTGCCTGTCCAGCTCAGCCATATATTTTAAGGGCTATTTTCAAACAAGTGTGTTCAGGAACTCAAGCACCCAGGGGGAAAAATATAGGCCGGTGTGCAGCGTCTCGAAGCAAAGTTGCCTCCTAATAAATACACAGTGGGATTCTCCAGGCGTGGGAGGTCCGGTCACACTCGTGGGAGTTAGCAGCATGGATTCCAAGGGAATTCAGAGCACCGACACTTAACACTGGTAAAGCCACACTAACCTCTGCACCCTCCACACGGTGCCTTGAATGTGGTGCAGTTTTTATTAGGTGACGTGTTGCATGTTAAAGCCAGAAAACAAAAACAATAAGATGGGCAAAACTTGAGATAATTCCTCTGTAAATATTTAATGAGAAACAAAGCTGAGATTGATAGCCAGTCATCTAAGTTGATAACAATGAGAGTCTGTGGAGGCTCTCCCCGGTGGACTCTGGGGGGTGCAGATCACCCCTGGAAACACGCATCCAGACTGTGGTTAATGCTGACACTCTTCAAGTTCATCAGAACCAACATCTTATACGGGCAGGACACTTGCTCTTTACCAGAATTCCCCAGTGCCACTCTGGAAAGGGAAATGGGTTATGCTCTGTGACGAGGGTTATCTTTACTTGCCCATGTACAGGTCAGCAGAAGAAATGCACTGCATTAAAATGTCATGAGGCCGCCATCTCCTCTGCTTCAGCAGCCGGGGTCTCTGTGGTGCCTCTCGGGGCAAGCCTAGCTTAGCAGCTGCCAGGCGTTCAGAAGTGGGTGACCTGGGAGCCTCTTACAGTGACGGCCTGTGTCAGGAACAAAGACATGTCTAGCTCGTCCCTTACTTATTCCGCTGAGAAATCTGAGGTCACTCTGTGAGGAAAGGTCTAACGCCCTCCTCTGTCACGTTCTCTATCTGGCTCCCTTGCTGACCACGGAGACTCCTCCAAGTGTCTTCTGTTTCTCAAGTGAACGGGATGCTATTTCCAAGACCTTTCTGGAATAAACTCTCATCAGCCTGATTCTCAGATAGAGTATGAACTTAGAGCATTGAAATAGGAATAAGAAATACAGATGAGTTAACAACATTTACCCCTGAGAGCTACAGAGTGAAGGAGGCTCTAATATGTAACACACACACTTACTCTCTGATAGATGTGAAGTGCAGGGTTTTGTATTTTAGATTTTTTTTTCCTTTGCGGAAAGATACTTTACTTTTCTGCTGTCCATTTGATGGGCATTATTAGTAAGTGGAAAGAACTGTCTTTCGCGGATTCCAGGATGAATGGTAAGTGTGGTAGGTACTTTCAATTTGACTGTACCATGATTCATATATTCGTGATTAGTGAATTATAGCACTGTGGTTAACGCCTTGAGCTTTCACTAGTAATCATAATACCCCATCACAACTACTTGGTATGGCTATCTCAAAATGCTACTGTGGGCAAAGCTCTCTCTCTCTCTCTCTCTCTCTCTCTCTCTCTCTCTCTCTCTCTCTCTCTCTCTGTCTCTCTCTCTGCCTCTGTCTGTCTCTCTGCCTCTGTCTCTGTCTCTCTGTCTCTGTCTCTCTGTCTGTCTGTCTCTCTCTCTCTCACACACACACACACATATACACTTCCTTATAGCAGAGTTTACCCTTGCGTTCTTAACCACTGCAGTATTTTTTTTTTTTTTTTTTTTTTGCTCACAGCGTTCACTAAATAACCGGAGGTGGTCATCACACAATAAATTCCCTTTGATATCCCTTCCAGTCTCCTTCGAGACGTAGTATAGCACAGCTTGCCCCTGAGAAATTTAAATCACTTTTGCTTGTTGTATGCTGTGGCTTAAATTGCCTCCTGACCTCTTTTTTCCTAAGTAGTTGTAGCTGATAATCGTAAGAAACAATGAGACCGCTCTGGAGAATATACCACTTTAAAATATATTTTCACCACCCTAATTCCCTTTTGAAATAACGTTTCTGTTAGCAATTAAATAAGGAGTTTAGAAGTGAGTGTCACAGTGTCTATAAATAAGCTCGAGAACGTCATTTATAAAGAACCATATTTTTACAGTCTCCTCTCCACTAAACAAAGCAATATTTTCTGGCACCTGTACACGGGATGTTTCATGTAGTTCTTATTGTGGAATTTCCTCCCTCCTTCTGAGATTGAAGATAATTACTGAATGTGATAGAAACTTTATAGCCATTAAAAATAGAACAGAAAAATATTACCAGACGGCAAGTTGTTCAGAATAAATAAGAAACAGGTCTCCTCTCAGGCTCTGAGTGAGAACTGCTCAGTGTTGCCTGGTTCTAAAGGGGCATAGATTTCTTTTCTCTCAATTCTGTAAAGGAGTTTGGAAGAGGTTAGGGATCTCTGAAAGTTTTGCTTAATTTTGTGAAAAATGTGGAGTTGCACACTAAAGTTTTGAAATGTCATAACCTTAAATCCTCTTTTTTCAATCTCTTTTCACGGTGCTACTTGGATTAGTTAAGTAGAAGGATCACCGTCCAAAAGTACCTGGTGAAAACAACACCACAGAGGCCCCTTAACTGGCTCTCATTCGTTAAGAGCCTGCTGCTGCTGCTGCTGCTGCCTTGCTGGTTAAGAAGACAACGTTGGAAATTAAATCAACACACGTGGGGGCTTTTTCCACCAGAGTCGCCCGTAGCTTTCAGAAATCTCTTCCTTTTCCTTCAGTGACAAAAAAATCTCAGATCTAAAAGAAACGAAAAGCGAAAAGGCTGCAAGGTCTTCTGTGATTTAAATGTGACTCGGGTCAGCTTTGATCTCTGCAGATCCGTCGTGTTTGTACTTCAAAAATGAGGCCTCCGCTCTAAGACTGTCTGGTGGGATTATTTTACTCAAGCTAACCTATCCAACCAGCGCGTCATATTCCCAAGCCTTTGTGTGGGATCGTAACACTATCACTTCAGGGCGGGTCTGAGGAGCTGAGGCCTGGTCCTGTCAGGTTTAAAGAGAAAATTATTCCTTTTTTCTCAGCGTCAGTGAACTTCCATCTATGAAGTTTCAAATCCACTCAAACCATGAGGCACAGGCTCCTCACCAAACAGCTGTGTTCTGACCGCCAGTTTGGGGGCTTTTGGTTTATTGGGCAATTTACATACTACATGTCATGAAATCCCTGAAGCCTCTCGGAGCTGGACTGTCACAGGAGCTCTCTCTCTCTCTCTCTCTCTCTCTCTCTCTCTCTCTCTCTCTCTCTCTCTCTCTCTCTCTCTCTCTCTCTCTCTCACCAGGCACTCACTAGTGAGGTTAGAACAGCTTTGGGGAGTCTATTCTCCCCTTTTGCCTTTACCTGGGGTCCAGGGATTGGACTCCGCTTGTCAGGGCTTTGCATGGGAAGGGCATTACTCTCTGAGTCATCTCTCTGGTCCCACAAACATACTTTTGTATAACTGCTCTTCGCATGCTGTAAACAAACACACTGGAAATGCTCAAAGGCCAGATCATTTCAAGATGGCGGGTGAATGCAAGGACCCCAGACAGGATTTGGCAAGCAGGGTGTTAGTGACCAATTCTAACTGGTCAAGTTTATCGGATCTTCAGGAGGCGTTAGAAGAGTTAGCAGCCTTTCTCAAGGGGATATTCGCCATTGGACGCAGCTGGTGGCCTAATATTGATGTTAGGTGTAGAGTTACCCACTGGAGGGCTAGGGCCGTGTCCAACAAGTAGGTTGGCCAAGCTTGCCTCCATGCTCACTGCAGACAAGCTCAGGGTATGGCCGAACTTTGAGTGACTCTGCGCTATTTATTTCCTCAGCCATTACGGGAAACAAGGTCCTTGTTCTGAACAAGGGCGATAAAGGATCGCCAGAGCCTTCTGGAGCAACTATGTGGCCTCTGGATTCGAGTCTCTCATTCCAAGTGGGGTTGTCAGGGAACAGCCGCTCATTTTGGGAACAGTTTGTGAAAGTCAGCCCTAGCCAGACGATGTTCTTAAGAACTTGATTCTGCTGCTGATAAAACTCACAGATCATCCACCGATGTTGGAGGTGCAGCCCACGGGGTTGTGGAGCGGACAACGGCTCTGGGAATTTTGCCGAATAAGGCTAGTAGGTGCAGATCCTGGCCAAACAGAGAGAGGAGCCCTGGGGTGAAGGGTGGGGTGGGGAGGGGTGGGCCTTTGAATAATTACTGAGGCTTTCAAGAAAATGTTAGCATTTATCTTCCCGCAAGGTTTGCCTCATTGAAGCCGAGCTGCTTTGCTCTGTTCAATGAGATATTGATGGAGCGCTGAACTCTGTGATAAATGTTAACTTTTTAATGCGCACTGTGTCCCAGAGGCAGGGCCTATGTGAGCTATTGAGAGAAGCAGGCTCAGCGAGCCGCTGCTCAGAATTCCAGGAGGTTAATTGGTAAATCAGCCTGGAAATGGTGGGGACCAGCTGCACGTCTTCTCTACTCTGGCTTTTCTCACAATCCAAGGCATCTGGGCACCATCTTCATGCACAAATAGCCCGTTTCTCAACTTCTCTGGGGTTTTGGTTGACGGGACCATTTTTTTTTTTTATTGTTATTATTAATGGCATCCTCTTTTCTGACAGGCTCCAGACAGCCTCGCTGGTTCAGGTCACCAAGGTGGACTGAGAAACAGGGATCTTGAGCAGGCCCTTTGCCCGACACGTCGGTGTGGCAAGGCTGGAAGGTCTTCCTGCCTCCAGTTGCACAAAGGAATGGGTTACAGTGGAGATGGAGAGTTCTGGAGATTCACACTGAGATATGGAAAGGACCTGAAGGTACACAACTCATACCTTCTCAAACTCAGCTGCAGGTCAGACTCCAGGATGCAGAGTCCGTCCTCACCCAGAGGCACTGATGTCTTTGGTTCGGACTGCAGCCTGGGCATGGGATTTTCAATAAGCTGTCCAGAGGATTCAACATGCCACAGGGGTTGAGACCCATTGGCTCAAGGCAAGGCACATCCTGAAGGCTCATGGGACGACAGCAATAGATGTCTCCATTTTAAATACCACCTACTGCTCCCCGACTCTCCTCTACACACCCCAAAATTAGAACTCCCTTCTTATTCAAAAATAGAAGTGAGAAGATCTGATGGTTCTTGGGAACAATTGAATTTAATGTGATTTTCCCCCCTGAAATCTAAGAATGAATATATATATTGACTATAATATATATATATTTTATATATATTATATATATTGAGAGCCGTTAATGCAGCCACACAATGCCCAAGAGGACACCTACCACATGTGACACTCCTGGCAGATCACTTTTACCATACACACATCCCCATACAGCACAATGACTTCCAGTGATGAATGTGTCCTAACCAATGGTTAGTTTTTGTTTGTGATTTTTCCCGTTTGAAAGCAAAGATTTTCTTTAAAAAGGTGACGCCCAATCTAAAAATATCATTCAAACTTCATAAAGTATTTATGAAGGAACTAAAATGTACACTCACCAAACACAAATCTTGTCCCTCACAGTTCACGCCGTTTTGTGCTTGCAAGTTGTTAAGTAAAGCTTCCAAGTTGTCTCAGATAATAACAGATTCGAATTAACTCAAGTTCTGTGTTTTGTCTTTGTAATCCCTGTGATCTCTGTTTATTCCAAATCTATTATTTAGGAGTGTGTCATACCACAGAGCCAAAGGCAGAGCTCAAAGGCCCTTCCATGGCTCCAAACCATCACAGACATCCTAGAAACAAATGTGTGTAGTGTGTTGTTGCGTTTGTGTGCATGACCATGAATTTTATAAATTTATTTCCATGTGAAATATGTTTATTTTAAATAACTCAAATGTGCTAATTTGAAGCATATGTACTCACTAATTTATTTATTTGTTAAAATGCATTCCTTCAAACACAGACCAAGTGATTTGAGGGGTAGGAACATCTTTTCGTAGTATGGATGGCGCGTGGTGATAATAAAAAGCAGACTGACTTCAGTCAGTTTTATTATTGTTTGACATTCTCTGTAGACAACATGCCCCCCTCACTCCTTACCTCTGGAGCAGACCACTCAATCTTCATACAACAGTCTTACATAGTCAAGACCCCAACATCTAACACCAGAAGTTGGAACTAACACCCAGGTTTCCTCACTCGCAGATCAGTACCATTCTGTGTATAACATGCCATGAATAATGCATTTTTCACAGGAGGGCCCGGGAACATGAGGACAAACTTCTAAAGCAGCCTATAATGAAGAATTGCAGAGCAGTGCCATCGAAATGAAGGACTCAGCCCCAGTGTGTGAGTCCATTTGGTTCTGTGTGTACTGAGCTTCAGTTCAATTCAGTCCAGAGGTCTGGGTGGCATGTGTTCCTTCAGAAAATAGAGGTGACTTTAGTTCTAGTAGGGAGAAAATTGTTATTTCGCTTTATTAACAAGTAGCTTGTATCATACTGGAAAATGTGTTGTCTGCATTCAGCTTGAACACTGTATTCATTACGTTTTCTAATCTGTGTGATAACTACCTGTGCAATTTGATGTCTGCATCTGCTGTCGAAATTCTTTCAGCCCATTATATTTCCCATTTTTTTTTTTTTTGTAATAGAGGATAAGATTGGGACACAGAAAATTGCAGCAGATTGCCTAAGGCAAACCGCAACCAGCCAGCAGCTGGATGGAACAGAGAAGATGCCCGTTATGTGGGGAATGTGAGAAGGATGTTTTCGGGTCTGTGCGCAGCTGTGACAAGCCAGGTAGAAACGGAGTTGGCCCCCTTTCCTGTGTGGGGACTGGATGTCCCCAAATTATCTACAAGATTTCGACTTGCCATTGCCCGCTTAGGGAAATCATCCAGAGAGAATTTGTGAGGGGTAATTGGACAATGTGCTCTTCACTGACTGAGGCTTCCCTGGGGTAAGGAGTGGGTACCGGGACAAAGCCAGCAAACTGGGAGAAATCTAAGTTTAGAAGTGCTTAGAAATCCGAACTGTAAGTTCATACATGTAAGTCACAGAATAGTGGCACCCCAAAATGGTGAAAACTGTCTTTCCCTTTTCTCTCCGTTCTAACTATAGGCCGTCATTTCACCCGACAGATAAAAGCCAGAGGGCTTTTGGGGTAAGAAGAGCATGCTCAGTGGAATGAGACCTGCTGTGAACCAGCGGATCCTCAGAACTCTTATTTCTATAGCAGCTGATACTGACATACATGACTCTGTACATAGCAGGGATTCCAGAGAGTTCTCAGTATCTGGTTCAAACTCGTTTTTGCATCTAGAGGCAAAAGGAGGCATCAATTCCAGAGGGTCTTCTTGACATTCCAGAAGCCCATCTACGTTAGACAGAAAATTCAAAAAAGAAATCAACCCTTTCTGCTAACCCCCAAGACACTGTAAATACTGTGGTGGAGGCCTGCAGCCACTCTGGAGAGCGAAAGTTCTGTACTCAGCCACATCTGGAGTTAGGCAACGCTTTGCCCTTTTTCTGTCAATGTGACTTCGGAAAATTTCCTTATACTCTTTCATGCTTGATTTTTTCCCCTTGTGCAGAGTAGAAAGAATAGTGGAAGGTACCATTTAGGGTTGTTATAGGAGTGAGAGGATGTGTGGGAATGGCTTAGTGGGTGATACATATGTTAAAATAGTATGCGATTTCCTTCCTTCCATCCTCTCTTTCTTCCTTCCTGCCTTCCTTCCATCCTCTCTTTCTTCCTTCCTTCCTGCCTTCCTTCCTTCCTCTCTTTCTTCCTTTCATTCTTTGTGTTTTGAGATAGGGTCTCCCCATGCAGCCCCAGCTGGTCTAGAACTCTCTATGTAGTGCAGGCTGGTCTAGAACTCTCTATGTAGCGCAGGCTGGTCTAGAACTCTCTATGTAGCGCAGGCTGGTCTAGAACCCTCTATGTAGCGCAGGCTGGTCTAGAACTCTCTATGTAGCGCAGGCTGGTCTAGAACCCTCTATGTAGCACAGGCTGATTGGTGTTGAAGTGACAATCTTCCCACCTCAGCTTCATGAGCTCTGGGATTACAGGCATGTGTCCCACCACGCCTGATCCTTTTTTTCTTCTTTTGATGACTAGTATGTCCCTTGAGAATAGCCAAAAACACTTTTCCTCATTGGTTGAAGTCTCTACCATCCCTGGCATGAACGGTAACGTCGCCACATCTTCTCATTATCATTTCCCAAGCCCTGCTACCCATGTGTATTCCACTCTGGCTCCCTTTCCTGGCTCTTCTTTTTGCACAGTCAGGGATAGTGAATATTGGGCTGAACAAAGATCTTTAACTTTCACCACTCCAAGGCCAGAGTCTGCCACTTCACTACACCCATGGTCAATACAAATGCCTTTGAAACTAAGTCGGGCAGTATTGAGGACCAGCCAGGTTTGTCCCTGCTTGAGACCATCAGGTGCAAGTGAAGCCTGCCAGAGGAGCCCCGGGTCAGGAGGGGCCTCCGCTATCTGACCCTCTCCTCTTAGCCGGGCCACCGGCCCTCTGCAAAGGCCCCCGACTCTCATCTGCTGTGATCGGCCACAGGGAGACCTGGGTGGAGAAATGTGCCAGGAGCAGACTTCCGTCACGCACCTGAAGCCCCCTCTGTCACCATGTATACACCAGCTTGCACAAGAGGCCGAACTGAAGCTCTGAAGGAGGGTTTTAGGTGGGGTCCAGGACTTAGAGGCTGTGTGGCCCTGAGTAGGCTCTTCAGTCCTGCGAGTCTCCGTTTCACACCAACAAAGCAGGCACAATGGTGTCCCATACATGTTTTGTGGTGTTGTTAGAGGTTTACGTGCATCATGCAAACGGGGGCTGGAGCTGCATCTCACTGGGCAAGCACGTACTTAGCATGAGCTAGGCTCACCCGCCCCAGGCCCATAAAATAAATAAATAAAAATTTCAAAAATGCGTTTGTTAAAAGCCGATGAACTCATCTTGCAAATACCCATGTCAGCATTACCTAAATCATTAGCAAGAAGGATTTGTCCCTGCCAAGCTCACACGGTTCTTGCAAGCTCACTCGTCTCCTCCTGGTGTTCCATCAGTCTGATCGTGCACAGCTGTGAAGCCGGCGCAGACTCTCCGCTTCCTGTCCACACAGTCTTGGCTTTCTGTCCCCCACCTCACCTCCCACAGGAAGAGGGCCCAGGCACTAGAATCAGTTGAGCTGCCACATGTGATCATTTTTGTTTACTTGGTCATGACTGGAAAACCTACTAATATCAGTGAGTATTTCTAAAGCATACATCCTGTCCCAAGAGCTATTGTGCTTGATGTAAAACTTAACCTAACCTCACAGCAGCCCCATGAATGGACCTGCTAATAGCCCGGTTTTACAGATGGGGAAACTGAGGCACAGAGGTCGTAAGTAATACATACAGCTGACAGTTGGTGATGCCAAATTAGATCATCGGGATCCAGTTTCAATTCTGAGCTTTGAAATCATCACCAGCTACCCCCCATCCCCCCACCCCCACCCCGGAGCAGCAGCACCCTGGGAACAGAACATCTTAAGCAAACATGATAATCTTTCGCAGATGCAGTCTCCAGGCATGGGGCAGGTTGGGCCCCAGAACTATCATCTTGTACTTTTGAGACGTGTTTTTCTACAGGGAGAACCTACATCGATCAGATCGTAACATGTGTCTGTCCCTCTCTCTATGGCATGAGATACAGGCAGAGTCTACAAATGGGAATCATTTTGCGTCTTGTCCTCACCAAGGCCCTCGTCTAGATCAGGCTCCTTTTTGTTGACCCCAGGACACTACTGTCTTAACTGTTCCCCTTCCTCTGGGTCTTACCAGTCTCGTCTCAACTCCCCTACTTGTACCTAACATGAAGCTCGTCATACATTCCTTCTTACGTTCCCCCAAGACCGGTACATGTTTCTTTAGTTGTATTTCTGTTGTGTGGCATACTTTCCCCAGGGAGGCATCACACACGTGTCTACTCACCCCAGAGTTCACAATAGACTCCAGCACAGATACCACCCAACTCAGGCTGGGTGAACCAATGAGTTTCATTGGGTTACTCAAAGGAATATGGGTGAGGGGTCACTCACAGAAGCAGAAATGACTCACAGACAGCTGCATCACCAAAGCTCGCCCTAGCATGGGTGACAGTTCACAAAGGCTAGGAACTTGGAGCTCACTGCACAGCCTGCAGGCTGCTCAACAGGCTGGAGAGCATCCTTTCCAGGGGCGGCAGCTTCTTCCAGGCACTCTGCTGGTCTCTGCTTCTCTTAGCAGGTGGGCTTGTCTGAGAGTGACTCTCAGCAGGCTTTGCTGTTTATACACTCTTGGGGAAGGGCAGGGCCTAGTGAATCCGGTCGATTTTAGGGACTTCCTGAAGCTATCGTGAGTTGTTGATTTCCCGTCTTCACTTGATCTTAGCCCAAAGGCCGAGAAGCGATTCATTTCCCGTCTTAAGGAGCTTCCCTTTACTATTTTACATCCCCTTAGAATACCCTGTTGCTTCCCCTCCCTGTTAACATCCCATCTTAAGAAGTTCCCCTCCAAGAAGGAAGGTTTTAACCTCTGAAGACACTGCTACCCAGGTTTCCCAGGGGATATCACTGCTCTGAAATGCCAGCGGGAGTTCAGGGGTGGCGGTTTAAAAACCAGGATGGCTTCTTTGACAAAATTTAATAATGCACACTGAACTAAAACACAAAGCATTTTGTATAACCATTATCATGTAACCCTTTACCTTTAAGAGGAGCCTGCTGAAGAGCATAAGGAAGTTGTGACATGTCATGTCACAATGATATTCCAGAAGTCTGATGTAACCATGGGTGTCCAGGCATCAACTGTGTTACATATCATCTATTTGATCTTCTGTATCTTGTCTTAAAATTTCACTCCATCCTTGTGATGCTGTCTAGTGAGCACTCAGTCTGAAACTGTCTAATAGAACTTTGGGTGAAGACGGGAGAGTTTTATTTCTGTACTGCTCTACACGGCAGCCAGGGGCCACATGTAGTTATTGAACATCTGGCTCTGGCTTATGCAACTGAGGAACTCAAATCTTAATTTTATTTGTTAATTAAGTTGACTCTAAATCCCATATCAGGTTGGTAGCCACACACTGGGAAGCACAGTTATACATTAGTATTAGAGATGTGAATCAACCTTTGCCATTTCTTGCCTCAATAATTCATTACAGACTGGTACACTCTTAACAGGTGTCTTTATCTCGTGTCATCCTCCACTTGGTCGTCGTGAAGTCTTTGTTTTCTCAATGGACTTTCTTCCTTTATTATCACTGCTCCTTTACCCTCCTGCCTTTTCTACCTTTCCTAGAGCTTTGGCTCAAATGTCTCGTTTGCCATTATAATGCATTGGTGTGTCCCTAACTCTAAGCAAAATGACTTTGAGTCCCATTAACAATATAGTCATCTGTATGTGGAAAGCATCTCTTGAGTGGCAAGCATTTTTCTTAGCATGACAGCAATGAATGAATGTCGTCGTGATATAACAGTCCTTGTCCGCCGGGCGGTGGTGGCGCACACCTTTAATCCCAGCACTCGGGAGGCAGAGCCAGGCGGATCTCTGTGAGTTCGAGGCCAGCCTGGGCTACCAAGTGAGCTC